CATTTTGTAAAGGCAACCAAGTGGATTTACCCTAGGGGTGTTTGTGTGCAAGTGTATTGTTTTCATGCTTGATTTTGTCTTGAATTAGGATTTTCTAAGTATTGGTTTTAGTCTTTCCATACAAACCCTAATTACTAGCATGTTATGTATAAAGCGATAAATTGCGGAATTTAAAGTTACTACACTATTACAATACTTGTGGGAAGGAGGGGGTGTACAAATTGTAAAGGGGGATGGCAAGAATATAAACCTAATTAATCTATTACAACCAAATTGAATTTGTACAAGAAATTAAATGGAAATAATGTACAAAATGAATAAATATGCAAGAATGCAAATATAAAGAAAATGAATATTTTTGTTTGGATTTTTTAGGAAAAGGGGATTTGTTTTAACCTAATTAATTAAAAGAAAATAATTAATTAAAATAATAAAAGTAAACCTAACTTAATAAGAAATTTTTTTAAATAAAACCCTAAATCTATTAATTGATTAAAAGAAAATTAAGTTTAAGAAAAGTATTTTTTGTATTTTTGTCTTGAAAATAATTTATAGTATTATAAAATATTTTAGCCTTTTTTATATTAAAATAATATATTTTAATTGGTGTAAAATAAAATAAATAATATCTTAGTTTTAATTAAATTTACAAGAATAATTAGTAAAATAAATAAAGTGTGGTTAAATAAAATATTTTTTGTGAGAAAAAATAAATAAACTAAGTTAAAATATAAATCTACTATTTTTGTATTTTTTTATGATTTTTTTAGTATTAGAAAAATAATAAGGGAAAATATATAAAAAAGAAAATAAGAAAATAAAATAAATTTGGCCAGGGGTGCAAATAGTTCACATGGGGGTTAGAAAGTAAAAACAAAAACAAAGCCCAAAGATGAAGCCCAAGGCATGCAAAAAAGGGTCAGAAAAATGCAAAAATATGAAAAAGAAATCAAAAGGGTACCACTAGGACTCGAACCTAGGTCCCAAAGGTTACAGGCGCGCGCTTTTACCACTGGGGTGGCTATACATCTGTTAACATAAGTAAAACAATAAATATATGATACAAACACGCCCAAATTTCAACTTCATCTTCAACCTCCAGCCAGACCAACTGTAACTTGTTCAAATCTCAACAAAAATGAAAACTGTAAACATGAAACTTGTAGCAAATTTCCTCATGATTTCAGAAATGTAAAGCATTAAAACTATAGCTCAAATATAAACATGAGTGGGGATGCCCTAAATATTTCGATCCATTGGGATGCCCTAAATTTTGCCTAAGTCAACTTTTTGGATTTTCTTTTTTACTTAGCAGGCTCTTTCTACTCTTTTTTTAATGAAATTTTTTCTTTTGATTCAAGAATGTCGTAACTGCCATGTGAGTTATGTGAGCTTCATCATCATTTTTTCCTTGATCATGGATGATGTACGTGAGGAAAAAGATATGGTGAGCTTTATCTTCGTTGTTTCCTCAATCTTTGATGATGTGCACAAGGAAGGTGATGTGCTTAAACCTCTTGCTTAGATTGACTAATTATCTTGACATTAGAATGAATCATTGAATTAATTAAAGTCTATCCTGCCCCTAGTAAAAATTAAGTTTTTTTGTTAAAAATAGAAAGAACTCCAACTTCTGGCTCTAGAGGGTTGAATACAAATTAACTCCTTATTTCTTCACTGTTTAGGAAGTGAAACAACGCCTTACATCATCAGCAAAATTTGACTATTGAAAAGCATACACCAGCGCATTTAGTTATTTTGTTTACATCATTCTCCCTTAAGTTTGTTAAAAGTAAAAGATGATTGGAAAGTTGAGAAGTGAAAATAGAAAGTCGTTGATATTTATAGATGTGGAAAGTGATAATGAATAAAGAGTGAATACGAATGGATTAGTTTAAAAAATATGCATGATTATTTTATTAGAATTAAAAATCAAAGAGTACAAAGTTTACAACCAATAACACTTAGCAATAAAGCAATTAAAATTTGGACATGATAAAGGCCGAATAATCCTAGGGATGAGCTTCTTTGTTGATCCACCAGTCTTGAGAGATACTTCTTAGTTCTTGGACTTGTCAAAGTAAAGGGAGACCTTTGTCTTTCCTTCTGTTGGGCATACCAATTCCGCTGATAGGGAAATTATTGTTGTTGATATTGTTTCTTTTGATATTGTTGCTTTTGATATGGGGGACCACCCATCGTAGTGGCATCTGAGGCGTTATGTAGGCCTATAGTTGTCATGATGAATGGTTTCCTTCTCTCTCCAATAAGACTTGTATAGCTTTTTTTTAGTTCTCCATAGTATCGGAAAACCTGCTAGGTGGATGATGGTTGGACAAGGGGAAAAGGGGAAAGGATATGAAAAATGTATAAATGTATGTCTGGGATGTATGCAAAAATGATTTTTCATTTTTTTAGGGCATGCAAAAAAAATATTTCACGGAAATACAATGCGATGCAGGGTTAGGATAGAGGTAAACATAACGACACCCTATACGGGTTTAGGGATATATATATATATATATATATATATATATATATATATATATATATATATATATATATATATATATATATATATATATATATATATATATATATATATATATATATATATATATATATATATATATATATATATATATATATATATATATATATACGTGTGTGTGTGTGTACACAACAGGAAACCTCTACAAGCTAGAGATTATGATAGGAAAAAAACACCCTACAAGCTAGGGATTGCGACATATAAAAGAAAATCCCTACTGGTTAGGGATTATGATAATCAAAAGGAAACCCTTACGGATTTAAGGATTCTAGTAGAAAAAAGGTAATCCTTGCAGGTTTAGGAATTGTAATGGATAAAAGGTATCCCTTGCGAGTTTAGGAATAATGATAGACAAAAGGAAAACCTTTGTGGGTTAAGGGATAATGACAAGATATCCTTCACGGGAAGGTTCCTTATGAAGAATAGGATTTAAATAAAACATCCTATAGGTGGGCTCCTATGGGAGGTTCTAAGTTTATTCTACCCAACCCCCATAAGGGTGGCTCCTATAGGTATCATGGGTAACACGTAAGGGAAAAGGCACAAGGGCCTCCCTTAAGTGGAGCCTCTGTGTAGACCAAGACTTTCGTCTTGTAGGCCATACAAAGTCTCACCATGAAATTTTATTTTTGGGGTAGATCCTTAGAGTCATTATCAAATCCAAAGTCTTATCTCCAAGAGAGGCTAGCCCTCCAAAGATATTTCTCATGATTCGATCCACTCCAAGAGAAGTTGTTACAAAAACTCATAGGGATGTTAAACCCCATTGGCCAATAAACAACCCCTTATCTAAGGTTTTGTGATGTGAATAAGATCCCATCAACAAATATAATAATATTATGATAACATATAAGGTAAAATAAATAACATAAATGAGGAACAAAAAATAAAACAAAAACAAATAAGTAAATAGAAATATAAAATAAATAGAAAAACCTTAAAAGTCCTAAAGCTAAAGGTAGGATAAACTTTAACTTAAGGGACGTGTCCCCGGCAGAGTCGCTAGCTGTCGTAACTGGAAAAAAATATGAGAGACGCCACCACTACTTTTTATCCTAATTACGAGAAAAGAACGGAAAACCCTAATTGTTTCAGAGATTACTGGTTTTGAGAGTTGATTAGATAAAGGGAAGGTGTTAGGCACCCTTTATCTCCCTTGTACTCAACGGGGTCCTTTTTAGATCTAGGACTTATGGAGAATATTTCTTTATTTAATCATATTAATAAAAAAAGGGAAATTTTAGGTTTTTTAGTTAGTGGACTCGCCTTTGTTTTTGAAGTGTGTGCCTATGTATCCTCTTGTGAAGAAATTAGAGTCCTTTGTAATTCGAAGTGTTTGGTTAGTGTTTTTTTTTATAGAATTGTGTTAAGTTGCTTTCAAATGGTTTTGAACTTGCTTGAGTTTGAAAGTTGAGTGAAGGTAGGCGAAGTTTTGTATTAATTGTGAAAATAACTTGACAATCCTTTATTAAAAAAACATCTTGAATTTGATCATGTTAGTAGAAAAATATTTTTGATTGGTTAGCTGCTTTGATTGGTTAAAGAAGAGTTAATCTTCACCAGAATTAGATCGTGCTGGGCAAAGAAATTGATTTTTATAATGAGTTGATCCTTATTAGAATTAAATCGCGCTGGGTGAAGAAATTCGTTTAATTTATGGGTGATTTTTAGAAGTTTTGATTTGAATAATTAATTGGTAAGGCGTTGAGTTGACCAATCGATTATTCAAGGATGTGGTGGATCTAAAATCCATTTATCCTATTATTTGTAACATGTTTGAATTATCTACAAGCGATGAGTATTTTAATCGAGGGAACCTAGTATGTACAAGGATAAATTTTCATTAAAATACGTAAGACTTATTTTGGTTGTTTTTTTTAAATAGTTTTGGAGCTAACTAGAAAAATAGAAAAATTCAATAATTAAAGAAAAATAGACTTGAATGAAATGTTTTTGTGTTTTGTATTTTATTCTCTTAAACAAAAATTATATAACTTAAATAAATAAAATAGTTACCAAGAAATAAAATAGAAACGAAAAATCAGAGGGGTGCGTAGACAGGTATTGTGGAGACACAAAGAGAATTAACCCAACATTCCAAGCCCAAAACTCAAAAAAACCTACTTCTAAATATACAAAATAAAAAAAAAGATTCAAACAAATATATATGGGGGCGGTGCCCCCTTTGCTTTATCGGCCTCCGTTTGTTTTTACATAGTCATCTTTGACTTTTTTCCCTGATTTAAATGGCCCACTAGAAATATGGCATCTGGAGGATGAATGAATAATTAAAAAATTGATGGACATAAATGTATATGAAATTGTATCTGGAATACAGAACACACAAACTTTCCTCTTTCTTAAACTCTCACGCCATTTTTGTTATCAACATAATTTTTTTTTCTTTTCTGATTCTTACTCTCAGTTAAAGAAAAAACATTACCAGATCCTAAATCATGGCATAAACACATATATTAGAGAATTGGATTAAAGAAAAACTTGTGATTCCTTGTTTGTCTTTAATGGGAGATGCAATTGGAGAAGGTGGTGGTCCAAAGCTTGTTGGGTGGCTATCGGTAATTCGCAGAGTTAGTGGCCAGAGAGAAATCACAGAGATGATGAAATGGGGACGAGCTGCGAAAGTTGATTCGTTGAGGAGGGCTGAGTGCAGAGGTGGTGGTGCTTGGCTGTAAACATCTTGGAAAAGAAAATTAATTTCAAAAAACATAGATAAATATCTTACGATATGATTATATTCTTTCCAGATTATATTTGATTTGTTATTGTTGATTTTGTATGTTTTGTTCATGATTTTCTTACTGAATTGTTGTCGTTCTTGAGTTTATGCAATAAGAAATGCATTAGATGAAATATATGTTTGTGATGGTTAAAACTGGGCATGCATAAAAATGTATAGTGTGAAATATGTGAAAAAATGCATACATGGATTAGTGTGTGAAATAAGAGTTGAAAATCATAATTCAATTATGTAACTTTATAATTATAACAAAATATGAGCAACTAAATGATAATATAAGAGGAACAGTTATCACGAGTATGGATAAATAAACATAAATATAATAAGGGTCAATGCATAATAATATAGTAATAACAATTAGAATAAAATGCAACAATAAGAAAATTAACGAAACAAGTCATCAGGTATCATTATATGGCTTAAACAACAAACAAATAAAAAAGAAAGATAAAATTGAAAATAAATGGGTGGCCTCGTATGGAAATTATTGATAAAAAAACGCAGAAGTTTTAAAAGAGTTTTTGAAAGAAAGTGTGTGAAGAAAAAGTTAAAAAAATTGTTGATAGAAGCGTGAATGTTGGAAATTGTGTGTGAGTGAAATTGCAACACTGGATTTTTGTGGGTGAAATTAAAAATTTGTGGATCATTGTTGATGAGAGTCGATATCTAAAATATGAAAATAGAGTACTATTTATAGTTTGAAAAAATCAGATTAAAGGGCAAAAAGAGAATAAAATTAAATATATCAGATCTTCCTTGGTCAGTAAGCTAACCAATCAGAAGTTGAGTATGATACAAATTGATATAATCAGAAGTTTAGTAATAAATGAAAGAAAAAATGTTTAAAAAATAAAATCAGTAAGACTCGAGCCCATGACCTTATGCTTGCAAGCGTTATTTCCTTATCAATTGTGATGTCACATTTATTCAAAATAAAAAGGCACTTGAAAGCATATGAAGGGTGGAAAAATATTTGATATTTAAAAATACAAATAATTTAAAGTAAACTATTTTATATATATATATATATATATATATATATATATATATATATATATATATATATATATATATATATATATATATATATATATATATATATATATATATATATATATATATATATATATATATATATATATATATATATATATATATATATATATATATATATATATATATATATATATATATATATATATATATATATAAGCAAACCAAATTAAAAATATCTATAAAACTCAAAATATTAGTGTAACTAAACCAAAGAAATTTATAAAAAAAAAATAATTTTGAAAATCATTCAACTGTAGAAAATAAGGTGGGTAAATTTGGGGTATGACAACTGCCCTTATTTAATTACTCTTTGATTGAAGCATGCGGTTATACAAAGTTCTCGCACATGTGGGTCGGAGGGTTATTAAATAATGGAAGATCTCATAATTTAACCAAAGACTCTTTATTTGACTTTTTTTTAAAATAGTTTGAAAAACAAATCAAGTAAAAAGTAAAAAATGACAAGGATGACGCAGACGACTCATCAATGCCTGGAGTATGGATTAACATATCTATCTTTGCCAAGGGACTACACCAATAGATGTGAGAAAGGACACCATCACAGATTTTGCATACTTACCACAACCTAGGAGGTAGATAATGCGGGTATCAACTCTATTTATGCCAAGGGACTAAACCAATAGAGTCGAAAAAGGTATGAAAACAACTTTCTAACACTTCGGGACTAACATAGTAAATTGTATCACATATTTGCATATTTATCACAACTTAGGGAATAAATGATGTGGTATCAATCTTATCTTTGCCAAGTGACTAAACTAATAAGATCTATAATTTTGGAAAAATAACTTATCATTACTCAGGGACCCATATGAATAGTTATATCTGATTTGCACATCTACCATAAACTAGAGGTAGATGATATGGGTATAAAATCTATTTATGCCAGGGGACTAAACCAATAGAGTTGAAAAGGTTTGAAAACAACTTGCTAACACTTCAAGACTAACATAGTAAGTTGTATCGCAGATTTTGCATATTTATCACAACCTAGGGGATAAATAATGCGGGTTTGAAATTTGATATTTGAAAATTTGAACATTGAGGAACTAGGTCATGAATATGAATAGTAGATATACCACCTAGTCTAATTTTGGTTTTAGTACCTCTAACCGTTATGTATGTTCCATCGATATAAAGAAGTGTTTTCGTTGTGGTAAAGCTGGTCATGGGGTAGCTGATTGCAAACACAAGTCAGTGATATGTTTCAATTATAGTGAAGAGGGACATATCAGTACTCATTGTCAGAAGTCTAAGCAAGCTCAATCTGATTGAAAGGTGTTTTCTTTAGCAGGAAATTAGACATCCAGTGGAGACAAACTGATTAGAGGTATATGTTTCATTAATAGTACTCTTTTAATTGCTATTATTGATACTGGTTTTACACATTCTTTTATTGTTGTTGAATGTGTGAAAAGATTGGGTCTTGTGTTATCTCCTATGATTGAAGAAATAGTTATCGAGTCTCCAGCTAAGGGATCAGTGACTACTTCTCTAGTATGCTTGAAATGTCCTTTGTCAATCTTTGATAGAGATTTTATTGTGGATCTAGTTTATTTTTCGTTGAGTGGTCTGGATGTGATCTTAGGTATGAACTGGTTGGAATCCAATTATGTTCATATTAATTGTTCCAACAAATTTGTATGGTTTCTTGCTCCTGATGAGGAGGAGGAAGCATATTTCTTGTCTGCTAGGAAGTTGAACGAGTTGATGTTGGATGAAGCTCAAGTGTTTTCATTGATGGTGTCTTTATCTATTGAAAGTCAAACTATAATTGATGAGTTGAAGGTGGTGCGTGATTTCCCTGAAGTTTTCTTAGATGATATTTCAGAGGTGCCGCCAGAGAGAGAAGTGGATTTTTCTATTGATCTTGTCCCTGGTACCATACCCATTTCGATGGCACCATGCAGAATGTCGACATCTGAATTAGCAGAATTGAAGAAGCAACTGGAAGAGTTGCTTGAAAATAAGTTCGTGAGGCCAAGTGTATCGTCTTGGGGAGCTCCGGTATTGTTGGTGAAAAAGAAAGACAATAGAATGATATTGTGTGTAGATTACCGACAATTGAATAAGGTGACGATCAAAAATAAGTATCTACTACCGAGGATAGACGACTTGATGGATCAGTTGGTGGGTGCACGCATGTTTAGAAATATTGACTTGAGGTCGGGTTACCATCAAATTCGAGTTAAAGATGACGATATTCAAAAGACGGTTTTAGGACTTGGTATGGATATTATGAGTATACTGTAATGCCATTTGGTTTGTTGAATGCTCCGAGAGTTTTCGTGGAGTATATGAACAAAATCTTTCATCAGTACCTAGACAAGTTTTTTGTAGTATTTATTGACAATATTTTGATTTATTCTAAGTCACCTGAAGAGCATGCTGAGCATTTAAGAATTGTGTTGCAAGTGTTAAAAGAGAAGAGATTATATGCCAAAGTTGTCAAAGTGCGAGTTCTGGTTGGAAAAGGTGAGTTTTATTGGCCACATTATTTCAGGCGATGGTATTGCAATGGATACATCCAAAGTAGATGCATTGTTGCAGTGGGTGGCTCCAAAATCAATTACAGATATTATAAGCTTTTTGGGATTGACTGGTTATTATAGAATATTTATCGAGGGATTTTCTAAGTTATCACTTTCGTTGACTCAGTTAACTTGTAAAGGCAAAGCATTTGTGTGGGATATTCAGTGTGAAGGAAGTTTTACCAAGCTGAAGAAGAAACTGACGACGACTCTGATTTTGACATTACTGAACCTTGAGGAACCTTTTGTTATGTATTGTGATGCATCTAAAATGGGTTTATGTGGTATGCTTGTGCATAATGACAAAGCGGTAGCCTATGCACCGAGGAAATTGAAGATTCATGAGAGAAATTATCCTACTCATGATTTAAACCTGGTTGTTAGTGTTTGTGCTAAATATTTGGAGGCATTACCTATATGGATCCAGGTTTGAAGTGTTTAGTGATCACAAGAGCTTGAAGTACTTATTTGACAAGAAAGAATTGAATATGAGGCAACGAAGGTGGTTAGAGCTGTTGGAGGATTACGACTTTGGCTTGAATTACCATCCAGGTAAAGCTAATGTTTTATCACATGCTTTGAGTCAGAAATCGTTGCATATGCCTACTATGATGGTTAGAGAGCTAGAATTGATCGATCAATTCAGAGATATGAGTTTAGGTTGCGAGTTAACATCATAGAGCGTGATGTTGGGTATGTTGAAGATCAATAATGATTTCCTGGATAGTATTAAAGAAGCTCAGAAGTTAGATGTAAAGCTGGTAGATGTGATAACTAACAATAATAAGTTCGAAGCCAGTGATTTTAAAGTAGATGTGCAAGGTGTGTTGAGATTTTGCGACAGAATTTATATTTCTGATGACTATGAGTTGAAGAAGATGATTCTGGAAGAAAGTCATAGAAGTATTTTGAGTATCCACTCAGGAGTTACTAAAATGTATCAAGACTTAAAGAAATTATTTTGGTTGCTTGGATTAAAACACAATGTGGCGCGGTTTGTGTATGCGTGTTTGACTTATCAGAAGTCGAAAGTTGAACATCAGAAGCCTGCAGTATTAATGAAACTTTTAGATGTGACATGGTTACCGAGTACTCCGAGAGGACATGATATCGTTTGGTTGATTGTTGATAGGCTGGTGAAATCGACTCCTTTCATTATGATTAATATCAGTTTTTCTGTACCGAAGTTGACAGAGATTTACATTCGTGTGATTGTAAATCTTCATGTTGTTTCATCAAGTATTGTTTCTGACAAAGATTTAAGGCTTACTTCTGGATTTTGGAAGAGTTTACAGGATGGATTGGGCTCTAAGATGAGACTGAGTTCTACGTATCATCCACAAACGGATAGTCAGACGGAAAGGACTATTCAGTCATTGGAGGATTTTTTAAGAGCTTGTAATTTTGAGCAGGGGTACATGGGATAGCTATCTTCCACTGATA